ACAGTTTTGCAGAATTTTCCTTGAACCGAGAATTTTCTCTTCTTTTTTGAAGATTTTCTTTTTGTTTTGAAGGTTATGCTGCTTATATTATAATTCTGGATATATAAGATCTGTATTCTTTAGTCTGGTTGCCCTTCTTAAGCAATTTTGGATGAACCTGGGTATTTATTCTTTACTAATGGGTGTCATTCTTTTACTTCTTCCTCTGGATACATCCTATTTACCTGCTCTTTCTGTTTGTGAGAGTTTTTCAGGGCTTAAGTTTTCTTCTGTTCCATACCCAACACAGTCTTTAAGTAGGGAGTATTAATATCTTGAAAACTATTTGTGCCTTTAGCTGTCTAATGTTAATGTCTACCCTCACTTCTACAGTGAGCTGTAGTAGTCCCAAACATCACACCATTCACTGAAGAAGCACAATTACAATAAAAGCCCAGCTTGTCTGTACAGTTTTAGTTTGTCGTGAGCCACTCTGACCATCTGTCTTCCCAACGTTATTTCTGTCAGTGCTGACTCACCCTTTCCTCATATTTTTTCCTTCAAAAAGCCCATATTAAAAAACCCCTCTCATTTTCTTTTCATTTTGATGGTGAGCTCTAACCACATGTTTAGTCACTGTATTAGTGTAAACTCTCCCGTTTGCTGAGAACTCAGGTTTTGTGGTGCTCAGATACTCTCTTACTGGTGTTTGTTTGGGTCTGTCTGCTAGTGATTCAAACTTTGATTAGCTAGACTGTTGCTACCTTGTTTCATATAGTACCTTTTGGCCATGATAGTAGGCAGAAAGTGTTTTCTAAAGCTGAATTTTGAGAAGATTTTGCATAAGTGTTGCAGATTCACTTGACATCCAAGTAATGTACAAAAAGATTGGCTTCCTCTTCCAAACATTCTCACTTGACATCCAAGTAATGTACAAAAAGATTGGCTTCCTCTTCCAAACATTCTGCTCCTTCAGCCCTTGTCCTTCACCATCTTCACAGCTTGCCATAGCTGGATGTCTTTAGTAAAGAATGCTCTCAACTTTAGTAAAGTTTGCTCTCAACTTTTTGCTCTCAACTTTCAGATGCTTCATTGCAGAGAAATGCAGTTGGTAGAGTCATCGATCCTCGGTTTTTCACAGTGTACATGTAGTATGCCTATAAGTACTTTCAGGATTAGGTTCAAGCCTTATGAAGAGCACTGAAAGAGCCAGAGACATGGCATAAAGTGGAAATGCTTCTGGGAGTTAGATCTGAGAAGAAGATGGGAAGCAGCATATTGTAGCAAGGAGATTTTATGCTTTGTCTTCTGAATTTGCTTACGGTGAAGCCTTGTTATCCAGTCTGTAGGTGCCTGATACATTGACCATACCAGGCAGATTCTCATATGGGGAGGAATGACAAGATAGAGGAAAAATAATACAATTTTTGAACCACGTGCTTCCTAAAGCATATGCATTCACATTCTCTGAGGAATCAGAAGACCTAGAATTTCCATCCAATTGTGGAAAGAATGGCTGTTTCCCATCATGAAAAGGTGGAGGTCTTCAATGTGTTTCCCTTTGCAAAGAAGCACCACTTTGGTCTTTTCTGGATTCAGTTTGATCCATCTGTTCTTCATTTAAGAGCTAATTTCCTGGAGTTATTCTGATGTTTTATAGTGATGATAGTTGCATCAGAAAATGAGATAAATAGTAGATTGTCAGCAACATACTGTTAGCAATTGAACACATGCCATATCACTCTCTCTCTCTCAGCAGTCTCATGTAGATAGATGTAGACTGTATGGATCCCTGTGGGATCCTGAAGGTGAGGACCTTGGAGGGAGAGGCTCGTATCCATCACCTTTTATTTAATTATACATAGAACACAAGATGCTGTACTGGTGTTTGTGTACTGATGCTGTGACTGAATAGAGGGCTCTGAGAATAGGAATGTGGAAATTATAGTTCCATGTTGATGAAAGTTTTTTAAATTCCTCTAGTTGTCAGAATTTCCATCTGTAGTCTGCATATCACCAGGAGTTCTGCTTTCTCTAGTCTTTCGTCTCACAGTGCATACGGATATACTCAAAAATGTTTTCATTTCTTAAAGGAACATCTTTTGCATCTGATATTGAGGCCACTGGACCTTCCTCCATGTTTTCTTTCCTTGTTATTTTATAACTTCTGATATTTATCTTGAGCAGTTGACAATGGTGTTCTGGTATCTCTCTTGTTTGTTCTGAAGGGTAGCTCTTCTAGGAAAGGGTTGAGATGGTATTGTATCATGACTCAGTGATGAAACAATACAGTATTTCACCTGCAAAGAGAGCACAGGAATCTTCTTTTTCTAAGGGAAAACATTTCATCTGGCAGCAAGAACTTCAGGTAGCCTCTTTATTCTCATTTTTTTAATGAAGTTACTTTCTAAGCAACTGGCTGCAAATACAGGCTTGTCTTTTTTATTCTAAGGTGTAGTGTTCTGTGAGGGTGAGCCCTCACCATAACAATGCCAAGGATGTAGAAAAGTAACGCAGAATGGCATGCAAGGTTTTGGTAAGTCTGGTTTGACTGTTTTGTTGGGGTTTTTTTCTGGTTCCCATGACCTAGAAACATTGCAGAGAGTAGTCTCTATATTCTTGAATGCTTGACCCTTATATATATAGTAGCAGCAGACAAGCAGTGTTGAAATGAGAGTGTGGTCTGAATACCAGGGTGGTATTTCTCCCAGTGTTTTAAAACTTTTTCACTGACACTAGAAAGAGGCAGATGTTTACAGGGTGGCAAAAAACAGAGATGGGAAGTTGATGGCAGGAGCACAGATGTATGGGTTCTCCAGCAAAACCAGAGGTAAAAGGATTGGTAGGCTTAAAGCTAAAATGTAACCTCCTCATACCCCTCATACCCTCTCTGAAAACATACCTACTTAGTTTTGATTAATTTTAGTTTCTGGTGTTAATATTTTCAGCCCCTGACTGAGAACACAGGACCCTTCCTCTTCTCATAACAAATAGTTAGGGTGAGTGTGTATATCAGGATGAGACTAATAGTATTTTCAGGGCTATCTCATGCATTGTAGCAGTTAAACATGAAGACTGTTTGACATCTTCTGTGTTTCATATAACATGGAGATAATTTCATAGGAATCAATTATGGAGACAGATGCTTTGCATATCAAGTCAAGGTGTCTGGATGAAAATTTTGAGGGTAACCACGGGAAAGATTAATGCTTTCAAAATATGTGGACAAGCTGTACCTGTCAAAGAGGACAAAGCAAATCCCCATACTCAGACGATTTCACTGCCAACAGGATATTTGAAATGCAGATATTCTAGCAGAGACCTGTCTCTATCAAAGCTAAAATTTGAAGAAATTACCTCATTAAGAAATAATTCTGCATTGCAAAGCACTATTTATACTTGACAAATTCCTGTCTCCTATGGACTAGAAACAGCATAGTAAGTGCAGTTCTAATGTCAGGGATTTACTTCCATGTGTTCTATATACACAGACGCATATACATCGTCTGCATTGCCAAAAAACTCAAGCCTCTTCAACCAATAAGCTTGCTTTTCATCAGACACACAAAAAAATTATCAGAGAACTGTGATGAATTAATCTGTTTGTTATGCAGGTTTATCAGTGGCTACTCAAAGATTCATCCTATCTCACTTTTTTCGGTGACTTATCAAGTTTATTCTTCTAACCCTGACTTTTATCTGAAAACATTTCAGTATATTAAGCTGTAATATGCTTAGGTTGTGATGCAGTTTCTTTCTAAAAAAGTTAGACTCTTATGGCTTATACATCAATATTTGTGTGATTATAGACCAAGATATTGCTGCTAAAGTTAGGTAAAAAATTAATTATAAATTTAATTCTTTAAGTGTTATTCTTTAGGTTTAGATGGGGCATGGGATAATGTGTGAATGAATATGTTGCCTCACTGACTGCTTAAGAGAAGCATTATTCTTCCCTTATCCCTTACTTCTCTACTGATAACACAAAGGAAAAAAAAAAAAAGAATCCTTCCTCTTTTCATCCAGGTAGGTAGGTCAGGAAGAAGCTCTTGCTTTTCTCTCTTTTAATAAATCATTGTCAGAATAGGTTCCGTATGACTACATGAAAGCCGGAGAGCTCATTTGTTACTCCCCCGGGTATCAGCAGACATGCAGATGTGTGCAGAGGAGTGCAGTCCAATGCATGTGCCCTCGTTATGCTTAGTTAGACATTGTGAACAGTGCCAGTTTTCCTTACTTTTATGTATTCATTAGTTTGAAGAAACTAATGCCAAACTTCAAAAACTGACATTATATATAGCTCCCCATAGAAAACCCCTATTATTTTCTGAGTGAGGGACAGGCTATTAAAATCACAAGATTTCTATTTATTTAGCTATTTTCTCTGACTGGTAAACTGGTATAAGAAACTAAAAATGGATGAACACTCATAAGACTTGTAGAATAAAGAAAAACAAACCAAACCAAAAAAACCCCAAAAACTTATACAATTGCCTGAAACTTCTTAAACAATGAAAAATACGATCTTAGAGATTAAAAGTTTCCCATGAAAAATTTGTTTTGCTCAGTTTATTTAGTCATCTCTCTAAGCTCTTATGTGCACCCCACATACACACGTGTGAACACACACATATAATACACATATAGTAAGTTTGTAGTTGCGTGGTTAAAAGAGTTTTGAGGAAAATGTATCCTGTTTACTGCTTAGCTATGTGACCAATGTAGACCTGTAATACAAATCTCAGAAATATCCATCACATTGCTTTTTATTACTGAAGAAAGTAGATCAGGATGATAACAGCTGGATGCAAAAAGCAATCATATTTTCAGTGTAAAAATCGTGCTATTGCTTAGTAAGCTATACTCCATAAATGTATTAGGGGGATATACTGGCTTGCCCTGGGTGGTTTTATTCTTTTTCCTTAAAAATATCTTTTGTTTCCACCCCCCACTAAGAAGAAAGGAATGTTTCCCATTAAAACATGAAGTGAGTTTGTTTTTCCCTTTTGCCTTTCATATAGGGATACTGAATATAAAGGACTACAGCTCTCCCTGGATCAGGTCACTGCTACCAAGCCGGCATTCTCTTACGCAAATTCAACTCCGACCATAACGGATAATAGAAAGGGAAGCAAATCTCGCCTCTCAAGCACAAAGTCAAAATCAAGGACATCACCGTACCCACAGGTAGCTGTCTTTGAAAAACTAAACTAAATATTTTTGAATATCTTGATTTTGACTGCTACTTCACCCAAGTAACTAGAGTGGGCCAAAGAACGGAATAAAGGATGGCAGGTTATACGAGCTTGAGACAGGGATATGTTTCTTTAAACTGCTTCTAAAAAGCTGGAAACATTTATGTTTCAGCATGCATAATAAATCATTATCAATAACAATAGTAGCACAGGGCTCAGAGTTAATGAGAAGTGGACAGAAGGACAAGTGAAAATGTTTGGTTTGAAATACTTGTTTTGAGAAGACTGTGAGTTTTGCCATTTAAGAAACCTTGCTCTTTTTTTACTTGGTCTTTACTAATTCAAACAAATCTAGAATGCTGCCTGATATTTCATAGCAGTTAATAATGAAGTTGTAGTCAAGAGGAGTGAGTTTTGATGAGGGAAAGCAGTCAGCCAACTTGGTGAATTGGAACAAGAAAATCTGTACTTTTTTGAGTGTAAAGCTTTGAAAGGAGGAAAACAGTAGGAGGTGGTCATTGACATCAGTAGACTTTAATTTCCCAGATTTCATTTTCAAGCCTAACATGTAAGGAACATGTCCCAACTTGGAGAATGGACCAGACTCAATTGGGTCTGTGAAGTGAAACTTACACAATACCTTTATGCAACTGATTTCTGCAGGCAATGTCACAGCACTTGTATCCTTACGCAATCAAACTTTCAGCTCAAAAAACATGTTTACTAAAATAACCACAATGTTTACTACTGATACAAGTGCTACTGCTCTTATACCTCTACATGAAAGGATATAAATGAATATATAAAAAAAAATGGATATAAATGTATGCATTCGCAATGTAACATTGAAGTGGTATGTATATTTAGAGTCCAATATTTAGTACAATATTTAAAGAGCCTCAGTATTTAACTGATAATGACCTTAATAGTTACAGTTTCTCTGCAGGCACAATGTTTTCTAAATGGACCTCTGAGAGTGTGCAATATGGTCCCAAATGTCTGCATCACTTCCTTGCTTTCTTTTTCCTCTCAAAATTACCAAGGATAAGAATTTAAGTTAAAGGACATCTGCTTTTGGCACAGGAAATATTTAACCGAGCACCTAGATATGAATTCCTAATTTTAAGAATCTAACTTTTGTCAGATAATTCTAGCTCACTTGTTCATACATGTTTCTGTGGGTTGTAAAAAAAGCCTTTTTCTTGATTGCCCTACATCAAACTGTTGTAATCAAACTGCTTAAAAGAACTGGGGAAGATACATACAAATAATTCTAAATTAATTTTTTTATTACTATCTTTGATGTATTGTAATTAAATTTCATCTTGCCTTTTACAGTCCTTTCCAAAGTATTCATTTGCTAGCAGGACAATCCCATCTGAAGAGCTGTTATCCTTCCACATCTATCTGACTTCTGAAAGTATGACCTCCTTATTCTATCTGTCATCAGAAAAGCATACTGAATGAGCAGTGCAGCATTGTGACTTTTGGTTTATCAGGAATTGTAGTCTGAAAGCCCAGAGCACTTAATCTCCACTTTCATTTTGCATCCTCATTACCAGCTGCCTGATATTAAAGTCACATATTTCATCATTCAAAAACAAGCAGCCATGTTAGTTGCCAATATCTTGAAAAATGGTCATACCATTCATTGCAGCCCATCACCACAAGTAATGCTGGCAGCTTGGCTTTGCCTCCCTCTCATCCTTCTCCACCACTGAATAAACTGTTGAAAGACTAAGAGAAGCTGTTGTGAAGAACATGCAGCAGGTGGTACGGCCTGTGTCCCTCAGTCTCCTGCCCATGTAATTTGCCAGTCAGGAAAGGAAAATTAGAGTGTGACTTAAAAGTCACAGCTGAAGAGCGAGGTCACGGGTTTTGGCTTACACAGGAGCCTGAGCCGTGGTGAGGAAAGGAAGCAGGAAGTTTATTAGTAAAATAATGGCAGTGGGCAAAGTACTTCTTAAAGTCAAGGGTACCTATGATATTTTAAATGTACATAATTTCGTTCCCAATTTTTTTCGTTTCTTTTTATCTTTTCCCCTTACCATTTAATTTGCTTCTCTCTTGAAAAGAAAAAGAGGTCATATGCTTTATTGTGTGCTGACTGAGAATCCTTCACCTTTGCCAGCTGTGTGTTCCTAAGATAGGTATGTGAGATGTGAACAGTATGAAAATTATACTAATCCATTTCAGCTGAATTTTTACTGCTAGGGCAAAAAGTGGATGTTCTGGTCATCTAAGACCAAAGTGTTGAAGTTTTTTTCCCCAAGTCTTATGCAAAAGCAAACATAATGTGGGACTTGCAGACTTTAGTAAAACTGAGTTCATTAAACTGGAGGCATTGGTCAGCATCTGATCAACACTGTGTGTTGTTAGTACAGTGGGCTAGTGGGCTCTGTGAAACTAGCCTCAGGCAGGGGAAAGGCAAGCAGAGAGGAGAGCAACCCAAAATTTGTGGCCCAGCTGCAGAATTTGCTCAGAGGTTGAAGAATCCTCTCCCACCAGGGAGGTACAGAGCTGAAAGAGATGGTGGGAAAAAACCCCAAACAGGCAGATGAAGGTTTGATGGATATTTGCAGAAAAAGGAAATCATGAGTTGGTGAAAAGATGCCTGTAGTCTACCCCCACAATATAATCATCATCATCATCACTGTGAGGGCCTCCCAAAATCTAGCCCTGCACCTCTGTGCTCCCAAGAATTAGCCCAGGACCTCATTTGTTCCATACACAGGCAATAACAACAAGACTGGAAAAACATTTTAATTATCATCATCTGGTCTGCTTTGGAGTTTAATGTCCCATTATTGATGATTGTATTAAAAAATATTTAAATTGCCTGTTGTCTGCCCGCAGTGGAAATGTTTCATGGTGAGATCTGGTTAAATATTTATTGCTTCATATCTCATCTTAGTTCTTGGATAAAGATTTTATATATATACATATATAGATATTTATATGTATCTCATGAAAGTACACATGCAAGTAAGGATGTACCTAAGAGCTGTTGGATGGAGGCTTTGGTGTGTATTACAGAATACATAAATTTTTGGAAATCGGTGTATATTATAGGTATAGGTATGTATTAATAAGTAGGTATATAGGTATATATTAATACATCAGAGTTCAGAGATATATTGGTTTTATATCTCCTTTAGATGGCTATTTTGGATTAATTCTGCAATCCATCTCTATCTGGGCATATCACCCAATGAGGTAAAGATAACAGAGTCAGGCTGAATTCTAGCTAGCCTGGGTTTTGTTTTGTTTTAATTTCTTCCTGTAGCCTAAAGCTTTGGCAACTTCTAGTGTGTTCAAAAGCAAAGCACACTCCACTCCTCTTTTTATAGTAAACATAACTCCTGGTCTGGTGAAGAGTCACCAGCAGTGGGGGTTATTTTAATGGACATGCTGTATTACTTTAATCTAAGCCTTTCACCATCTGTTGTGCCTATAATAGTGAATGAGAAAAGAGCATATTTTACATTTCAGGATTACATTAGTAAAATGTAAGATAAAAGTGATTTAAAAGTGTGCATATGTTCTTAGTACAATGCAGCCTGCCTTTGTGATGTTTTTTTCCTCGTGGCTCAGACACAAATCAAGAGAAAAGCTGCTAATGCTGATGTAGTGAAAGTTTTTCATGGAAAAGAGGACTCTGGGAGGATAAAAGCCTGAGTAGGCCGCCTAAAAATTGTACATCTATAATATCTGTTAGAACATCTGGGGTGGCATGTGGATGATGTTGCTGTGTATGACAGAACAAGTCCTCAGGCCAGTGAGACACCTCTAGGAATGGAAGATCAGGTAAAAGAAAATCACACGAGAAATATTAAATTGTCTACTGGCCCAATACATTTCCATGGACTCTCGCAAAGTAAGATTCCTTAGACATAGAATTTATATCTTCCTATTTCCTTGTCTCTTCACCCCCCCCCCAATGTTTTTCTTCAAATGAAAATTTATTAGTGATGGCCCACAGACCCCTTCTTTGTCAGTACTAATCCTGCTGGTCTGCTCTCACTGTGATTGTACACTGGATTACCAACCTGGATGGTAGTTCTAATTTTCAGAGGTGACAATTCAGTTTCCAGGGACCAGCTAGAGAACAGTTTATGTTTTGTTGTTCTTTATGCCGGATGACAATTCAGAAATCACCTGAAGGGATTTTGGATGTTTCCAGTTTGAAGTTCTTTATCACTATCTGCTGAATAAATTTTGTCAAAAACTATAATGTAATAAATTTAGAAATCAGAGAGCAGAAATTAGCAGAAAATAGAACGTTTCTGCTGGGACATGACTGGGATTGAAAAAAACCAAGCTGATTTTAGTTTGCCATAATTTTCATTAAATCTGATTCAATTTTTTATGGTCTTTCATCACTTGACATATGGGAGCCTAATTCTGACTTGAGAGATAGTGTTTCTACTCCCATTTCAGTAAAGCAATATCTTTGATCACCCTTTCATTTCTCCCCCCATCAACATGTCACACATGCCCGTATTTGAAATCTCCACCTGTCAACATCAGATTCCCAGAAGAGGCAGTGGTTGGACCGCAGCAGTGGAGGCAGCCTGACGATGCCAAATAGAGATGTGGCTGGCTTTAAAGGGAATTAGACATACTTTTGCCGTGTGTCTGCTTATGTCATACCTTAGGAGTAAGTAGTCATATCAAACCTTAGCAGAAAATGTGGGTCACAAACAATTGACTGCGTTAATTTAATTCTGTCCATGGCCTAGCAGCTGTCACAGGTCAGATCTCAAATAATCTTCATTTACATCAAGTACAAAGAAGATGAGTCAAGTATTGTTGGTCTTGATACATGGTTATATGACATCACGCAGTGCATTTCTGATGTACTAAACATAAGCCCTTTGAGATAATTTCCCTTTCTTTAATAAAAGTGCACAAAGGCCTTTTGTAATTAGGTTCAAGATAAAAGCAGAAATTGTACAATTTTTCAGTTAAATGAAGATATTCCCTTCAATAGAAGCTATGTTGGACGCTGAAGTGTCCTTAGAAAAAGAGAACTAATAGAAGAATATCTAGGAGAGCTAAAGAAAACTAAGAGTTTTCAGTTTGAAAGATTCTCTGGAATTTATTAGCATAATAAATAGTCCAAAAAAGAAATTTCATTATTATATTATTGGAAATTAATTTTCCTTGTCCTCCTCATAAAAGAAATACATACTAGGAGTTTTATTTTTAATAAGAAAATAAATGAACTCTTGACTTTTCTATATTTGCATTTAGGCTTATACTATGTAGTATTTCTGTTGAACTTTTAAAATTAAAAAAATCTGGTTTATACAAATCAACTCCAAAAAGAGCATCAAAAATAATTCTAAAATTAAAACCAGATTAAAATGTAGTTTTCTTTTTTTTTGATTTTTCATTCTAGATAAATTTTAGTAACTGTTAATGTTGTTAATAATTTCTATTTTTTTTATTGGGAACTCAATTTTATCTATGCATTTTAGGAAAAAAGCTTACAATAATTCAGCTGTTATTTATGAATGTGTCTTTGTGATTAAACAGTTCGTAGATGTTAGATCTGAAAGGATAATAGAGGGGACAGATGCTCCAGTTGATGACGTAACACTGTGGTGACTAAATAAAGTTCCTAGTTAGTGTATGTTGAATTACTGGCATTTAAAAGAACCCTTTTGTGGCTCTGTAACTATCTAACCTTCATGAAAATTCATGTTTGTCCTTTCATCTCTAAACCTTTGTGATGAGTATGGTGGTACTAACTTTCTGACCTCCTCCATGTCTGCTGGTAGGCGTGTTGCCTATGGGCATTCTTCTGACAACTAATAACAAAATATAATTGACTTCCTCAAAGCCATGACCCTTCCTTTGTTTCCTTTAAATAACCTATCATGTTCACAACCTAAATGGTATTCACAAATATAAACTGGAATACTGAAGAAATGCCCAATTAAATGCCAAAAACTCTACTGATGTTGCACAGATGGTTTAAGTTTCTGTAAGCCAAACATCTGGTCAGTACTTTCGATTGGTAAGTGCATAAAACCTTGATCCTGGCTGATAATGAGGAGTTTCATAGCAACCTAATCTAATGAAAAGGAAGGTAACCTTATGTTAGGCCTATTAAAAGAAAAGGCAGAGTGGGCATATGGAAGGTGAGTGATGGAATGGGAGAATTCCAAGGTTTCATGTTGTAATAGATTGATTTGTGACACGAGTGTGCAGTGCTGAAGAGGTGAGCATGTACAGCTTTGGTCTCATCCCAGTCCATAATCATGGGTGAAATTGATTTAAAAATGTTCCGTGAAGTTTGACAGTTCCAATAAATAAAAAGATTTAAAAATGAGATAGCTAAATCCTAGGAGGTTTAATAAACATTCTTTTCCTTTCCCAAAAGATATCTAAAAGTTTGAAGCATTCATCATGAATATCGAGAAATCTGTGACATTTAACTTAACCCTTACTTCTCTCTAAACAAATGCTCATGTTCCTATCCTGTCTAATTTTCCAGCTACCTACTAGTTGTTTTTGTGTGTTGGGAGGGCCCTGTTTTAGTGAGGGTGAGAAATGCTCACTTTGCCTGCTTTGGTTAGCAGCTACCTTTACTGGCAACTAGTTTCTGGATTTTTCCTGTTCCCATATTGCAATAGAGATGGGATTTTTAGCTTCCTACCTATCTGCCATTGCTTTAGAGCTTTACCTTACAGAAATGCCGGTAGTGCAGAATTTACAAGAAACTTTCTTTTCCCTACTAATAAGAGGAAAGAAGTTCAAAGATCCAAGTAAGTACTTACTCCAAGTAAGGGGAAAAAAATATCAACAAAAAAAATACGAGGGAAAGAGAGTGAACCCTTAGGAAATAAACCTTCAAAGACATTAGGTTTCAATTTGATGTGTGAGAATGCTCCAGGAGCAGTGTTATTTCAGTCCCTTTTGGAAGTGTTTTGCTGAAGTGCATTGGAGCACCTAGGCTGAGCATAAGCACGGCTTTCAAAGCAACAAGGAAAACCTGGACATACTAAAAATATATTGAATCGCAACATCGATGTTGCTGAGCCTAATATTACACATCATAAAGGAGATGGCTGTTAAGGGCCGACATGGGATGTTTTAGATTTTCATGAGGTCTGTCCTGTCATCTGTGAGCTCATTACAGAGTGTTGTACAGGAAAGGACCAGGAGCCCAATCAGAAGGTGCAGACATGTGGGCACGCTCACAAAAAACACACTATCGCATACATACCCTGCCGTCCCAGTGCAGTTACTTGCAGATTTCACCCAGGTGTGGTAATTTCCATGCTGCCTCTCCTGTTTTGCAGTATTCTGGATTTCACACTGAGAGGTCCGAGTCTGACCATGAGAGCCAGTGGGGTGGGAGCCCACTGACCGACACGGCTTCTCCCCAGCTCCTGGAGCCTGCGGACAGACCGAGCTCCCAGCACCACGACGTCTCCTGTGCCTACAGACAGTACTCAGACCGCAGCGCGCTCTGCTATGGTTTTGCACTCGACCACTCCAGGCTGACGGATGACACGCATTTCCACACTCAGGCCTGTGAAGGAGGCAGATGCGAAGCAGGCCGGTATTTCCTTGGCACGCCGCAGCCGGGAAGGGAGAGCTGGTGGGGCTCTCGTTCAGCATTGCCTCTGACTAAGTCCTCCCCTGAGAGCAGAGAAGCGTATGAGAACAGTATGCCCCACATAACGTCAGTGCACAGGATTCATGGTAAGACATAACAAGGATTTGCAGAAGCGACACCATCTCAGCTAAAGCAATGTGACAGAAACGTACAGCTGTTTATGTGAAAGATGGAAAGTGAGGTGCTATTGATGTATGTTCTTGTCTCAGAGATCACATCTGTGGAGATGAGGAATACTTAAGGTTCAAGTTGAGTTGACTTTTACAGTCTGGCTTATATGCAGCAAAATATAATTTTGCTGTATCTTCATCAGTCTGTGAAATTAAGGTGGAAACATGTGACTGGGGAGATTTTAAGCATGATCTTAAAAATATAAACAAAATAATCCACTTGATAGAAAAGTGGTTTATATTTGACTTAAGATCAAGACACTTCAGATGGAATATATTTAGCAAGAAATTAGAGCTAAATGCAAGCTAGACAGCAAAAAAAATCTTGAAAGCCAATGGAGAAATTTTTCTCCAAATGACTTTTTCCCTACTGGCTATTACTAGATTCTGTATGATTTGGTGTTTATTTAAAGTTGGCTATTGAAATTAACAGTTGTTTTTGGTTTCAGATACTTATCCTCAGCTATAATTTTTAGCCAATTTGAATGTCTCTATTCTTTCAGCACCAAGCCTGAAATTTTGTTTACTTCCTGACAGGTTGCAAACTCAGTGCATTAGCACATTTTCAGGGGCTGAAAGTAACAAAAGAACCACAGAGAAAGCCTGAATACTGAGTTTGGAAAAGTCCAAAAGTAATTGGTTTTAAAATTATAGGCTGAATCTTGGATGACAGTAACTGGCCCTAAAGTCAGAATTCAGGTTTTAAGAATGGTTGTAACATATAAAAAAGAAAAAAGCTTTTCTACAAAATAATCTGTCAAAACAAATGTTGCCTCAAAAGAACTCACCAAAGCAGATTACATTAGCACTATTCCATTGACCTGCAGAACAAGGCTTTGTAAACAAAAAAGAACTGTTTTGCTCCAACCTGAGGAAAATTATGTTGAGGTTAGAAAAAAATTACTAAATAGCAAGTACTAAGAAATGCAATCAGAGAAAAAACAGGAAAGGAAAGGAGCTGAAAATTTTGCTGATGAGCACTGTTCTCCACTTTTCCTGTGACATCAAGCTGCTTTCCTTGTCTTTTCCGTCCTTCTGCCCAATTGTGGTTTTGTAGCTTTTTCTTCTCAAGAAGAAGACAATCTAGAAAAGTATGATAATTTGCTGGCAAATTTTATGCCTGATAATTCTTGCTGAGCATAGAAATATCATACTAAGGTACAAATGGAAAAGGGTTAGATATTAATTTCATACCTCTATCAAGAATAATTATCACAAATGGCTAATATAATTTGGTTTCAGTCTGTTGTTTGGCTTTGCTGTAATTTCAGGTGCTGCAGGTTTGTTTTTCTTTCTTATCAAGTGTGACATTTTTCAGTAGGTCTTCAGTCTGCGTGTAGTTTTGGGTAAAAATCCTGACTAGCCCTGGCATTTTGGGTTCAGGTCTTAAGAGGATGTTAAGGATAAGTTCATGTCCATGATACTCCCAGTGCAGTACTTCCCCAGCAGTGGTAGGATATTCTTATTGTAAAAGCCCATCACCGATTTTTGTAATGAACTCTGCAATGCAGTGGTCTGCAATCCAAACACATCTGTATGTCCTGACCCAACACATAACAAGTGAAACTCCATGTGCTAGTGTGAAAATGGGCTTCCTTTGAGGAGTACTGTCAGCCAACTCAATGTGCTTCATCCCCAAAGAAGACTGTGCATGTGCCAAGACAGAGGCACTGATAAGTAACCTGTGCAAGTCCCACACATGTCTTCCTGCAGGAATGTATCTCAGCAAATCATGCCCTTTATCATTATGTTGACCATTTAGGTTTTGGGGCCACTTACTTTCTTCCTGGCAAGGACTGACAGGTATGATTCTGTCCTTTCAGCTACTTGCAAGCTGAACACCTTCTCTGATATGTATATGGGCCTTATTTTTTAAAGAGAGGTAAGAATGTCATAATATTTTCCCATTTCAAAAGCAAATATTTATGCATGGGGATATGACATCACATTTTTACAGTGTCCCCCCGTCTAAAAGCTGTGGGTTCTTGAGTTTTGAAGAAGAGTTCTGTCATTATTGGTGGTTATTTATTGTTGTGTAACCTGCATAAAGTCTCTACATAACCACAAGCTGTTAATGCTCTCAATGCTGTTTCTGTTTTAGCTCCTGGAAAGGCTGGAATGTTCTACATTTATAATTCTCTGAGATTTTTATTTTTACCATGGCCTAAATTCACTCAGACATGTTGATACAAAGAGTAGTAAGGGGCCAGGAACCTGAACACTGGCATTGAGGGAACTTTGACATGCCCTAGGATATCCTGCCTGACCTCTAGCTGCTCCAAAAGACAGAGTTGCTTTAGAGCTGGTGCCATCCCTGCTAGCCTTATGCAGGTGCTTGGCTATCCAAGAGTATATCAGGTGGCACCAGACACCTGTGCTGAGGTGCTTATATCTCTTTATATATTTTCAACTGTGTTACTCTTTTCAAGTGGAGACACTGGAAACTAGCTTGTCACTGAAAAACAGGGGGTCTTTTTTGGTGACTGCTGCAACTCACCTCTGACTTGATTCTCTGTGTGTGAACTAAGGTTCAGATTACATGCTCTTCAAGACCACTTGCCTCCTTAAACCTCAGTGCTTGTCTCATTTCTCTCTTTCCTAGGAAGAGGACACTGGGATGAGGACAGTGTTGTTAGCTCACCTGATCCTGGCTCTGCCAGCGAGTCAGGTGACCGATACCGTACTGAGCAGTACCAGAACAGTCCACATGAGCCCAGCAAAATTGAAACTTTAATAAGAGCCACCCAGCAAATGATTAAAGAAGAAGAAAACAGGCTACAGCTGCGGAAAAACACTCCTGACTCACTGGTCTCCATTAATGGCACGGGGAAGAAGCATGCTATCTGTTTTGCAAACTACCCTCAGCAGCAGTTGGCAGTGGACGTCTGCCGTGTCCCAACAGTTGCCAACACTCCTCCTTGTGAACACCTCCAGCAGCGAGATGGAAAGATTATGAGCCCACATGAAAATGACTATGACAACAGCCCCACAACACTGTCCAGGATAAGTAGCCCCAGCTCTGATCGAATATCAAAATCTAGTTTGGTGCTTGCTAAAGACTACTTGCATTCAGATATGTCCCCTCATCAAACCCAAGGAGACCACCCAGCAGCCTCTCCAAATTATTACAGCTCCCATAGGCAGTACTTTGATAAGCACGCTTACACACTAACTGGATATGCCCTAGAGCATCTATATGACACTGAAACAATTAGAAACTATTCCCTAGGCTGTAATGGGTCCCATTTTGATGTGACTTCTCACTTAAGGATGCAGCAAGATCCAGCACAAGGACACAAGGGAACATCTGTTATAATAACCAATGGAAGCTGACACTTTCTTTTCTAAAAATTTTGTGCTTTAAAAAATAACCTTTGAGATCTAATTGGAAGATATTATATGTTTTCATGCCCTTGTCCTTACCAGCATTTCCCATACCACAGTGCACTAGAAAGAAGAACCCAAAGTTTGGGGGGATAAGTTAGTTAAAACATATTACTTAAAAAAAAAAAAACAAAACGCACTGGCATGCAGGGTTAGAGTAAATGGAGCTAAACCCAAAGTTGGTGTCATGCATGCTGAGAAGGATGGAAGAGGTCCAGGCAGGGAGTGCTTGTGGCAGGCTAACAGAGCAGTTTACCCACATTGTGTAAGAGGTGTTGTTTGGAAATCCTGCCAAGGGCAGATCTTCTGAACTGCATAGGTACCAGGCAACAGAACTGCTATGCACTCTTTGAACGCAGGAAGTTGGGATGTTTTCCTTCAAAATACACAGCCAAATGTGTACTTCTGGTGATTTGTTTACTCCCCAAAGGCCAAGCATGTTATGCTGCTGTGTGGTATAAAGCATCCACGGCTGACCTATATAAAATCAAAAGAGGGAGAAAGAAGAGAGAACTCCTTGAATTGTTATGTCCTTGTGTACTCACAAACACAGCTATTTACATTTGCTTGATTTGAAAAGAATCCTTATGGTTAGTATGGTCAAATATTTACTTCTACTGTATTAAAAAGAGGGGGGGCGTTCTCACTGTAGTTTTGAAGAAACGTAAAGGGCTTGCTTGTCTTACTGTAGAGATGGGAGATGGTTCTCCTGTTTTTGAAAGGTTACCCATGCTGGGTAGTGGAGTGAAATGGAGGAAAATTGCCTGGAGAAACAGGGAGAATAGACTGGAATTAGGAGTGGTCCAAGATAAACAGTTAACCCTGTAGCTATGTATGCCATTTAGTAATACTTATAAGGAAAAGCAGCTGAATAATTAAAAATTAATTTAAAACACAGAAGGAACTCAATATTGCTGTAAAATACAAATGCAGTTGCATAAATATAAAAATTCGTGAGACAAGAACAGGTAAAAACTGTTTGGCAGTTTGTCTAACTTTGATAAAGTTTTGGAGTAAATTAAGAGAGCATAAAGTATCATAACTACTCTGTCTGAAACACAGTGAAGTAATAGGCATAACCTTGAGAAAGAAATATGAATTCTCATCTTGATTTCAGCAGATAATTTAATGAATATCATAAAATATTATGGATATCAAAATCAGCCATATGTACATAAAAAAGTAGCGGGAAATCAGTGTTCCAAGGAATTAAATTGTATTAAGAATGCTGGTATTATCTGGGCCTGTCCTAGAGTTACACAAGACATCAAAAGAGGCCGAGGAATTTTTTTTAATTTTTAATAACCTCGTGAACAAAGACATTGATTGGAAAAGAATAAATGCAAACATATGTTAAAAATGTAAAATAAGGCATTTGTAGTCACAGTTGCTAGATCTGTCCTTTTTTTGTATGGCATTTATATGGTCCCAAAGTTGACTGTAACAGAAAGGAGCACTACTCCCTCTTATGCCAGTGTTGAGGAAAGGGGACCTGAGGTGGTTACTAAAACGAGATTAGCTCTAAGACTAGCTTAATTTGTAACATTCAGAAGCTCAACATATGGGACTGAGTCATCAATGGGACTAAATATAAACCAGCATGCTATGGGTGGGTTAAAAATACTGTTTCCAAATAAAACTAATCAGAAGCAAAAGCTAAATAGTAACATTATAAACCACGTAAGTAGAGATGCACTTGAAAGCAGAGGAAATTACCTCTCTGAACTTGGAATATTGTGTATAGTCCTGGTCACTCCAAAGCAGATTGTGAATCTTGAATTGAGTAGTACCTTACTCCATGAGCAACCTTTGTTGACTGCAGTGTGATCGCTCCTGGTGAAATGCACGTTGAACACAAGGGAGAACAACACAGTCTGGTCTTTATTATCTAAACCTCGTAACAGAAAAGGTGGAGCAGAGCTCAGCAAAAGATAAAGAGACTGAAAGATCTAATAAAAGCTTTAAATAAACTGGGTCTGTCATCTTTGTAAAGGAAAAGAGTAAGGGGTAATGTCACTGATGTGCACCAAACTCTGCACAGAGGAGAGATAAATAATGGTCTAAAACTATTTGAACTAGAGGCAGAAATGAGAGACAGGGCATTGAATGATAGCCAAGGCAAAATGAGAACAAAATGATTTGGCAAGAAGTTTATTTGACTCATTGCCAAACGGATAACGAAGGTCATGAAGAGAAGCAGATTGGGGTTTTTTTTGTTTATTTGTTTTAAGATAAAAAGGCAAATATCAAGGGGAAGAAAAACATTGACAACCGTTAACTCAGAGGAGGAAATGGACCAAAATGGACTTCTTTCAGCCCAACAATTGTATATATTCCTAAAGCATAGGAATAAGAAAGTATTTTTATAAATTTAGTTCTGGATACATATTTATTTCTCTTGTTCCTATGAATAATATGAATAAACTTGTACTTGGAGTCTCATTTTGCAGTATTAAAATACAATTTGCAAAGCGAATTAGAATAGAGGTACATGGTATCATATTATCCCTACAAGTACATATAAAACCATGCCTAAGTGTCAATATTATTTTGTATTACAAAAGAGTCTCTTAAACTGTTTGAATGAATGGGGTTTTCTCAGCACTCAAGTTTCTTGGGATCATGCAGCACTCTTGCTATCAAGCTTTTGGTTAGAAGGCAACAGAATTCTGCAGGCCAGCTGCAGTTCCCTGTCTGTGGTCTAAAGGCCACAACTAGTCAGGAAACCACAATTTGGGGACTGTTGCATTTGCATTCTGATGAGCACCTTTGAAAAACAGAAAGACCAACAGGCACAGCATATGATGCTACATGACTACACCTAGGGAAAAAAAGCCAGTGTGCTATGCAATAAAAATCTCCCATCCTTACTTATAGTGGTCCCAAAAACTGTAGTTATTTATCCTATTTTCAATAGTCCTAGTCCACTACAATGCAAAAAATGCACTGTAATGAATGGAATAAATCAGTAGAGATGTCTCTACATGCAGTCATGTGCTACAAGCAAAGCCTGATGCCCTCTCTCCTCATGGGATTCCAGCAACTGGCACTCCTTAGCACTTCAATACAGTATGCTGGAGATGAATGTCTTTTGTCAGCTTGTTTGCTATCCTGCTTCTTTAGATAGCCAGGAATTTCTTCTTAATTGACAGAAAGCATTGAGTATTGCAAACATAGACTTTGCATGCTACATGCTACATGAAAGCAAGTCTGCAATCTTAATTATAGCATATAATATCACTGCAGCTCATATTACATGTGCTTTTCAGTATGGTATAAAGCTTATTTTTTCCATTACATATTTATGTAATTCAAATTTGCATTTAGTATCCTTCAAGGATATATTTATTTTATTTTTTTTTTTACGTTTCTCCCTTTTTCAAATCAGATGGGAAGAAATATCTTGCAAAATTGAAAAAGGCAAGGCATTTGAACCAAGTAAGTTTCAAATGTATCACATTAGCTAAACGTTATCATTTTAAATGGGGTATGTATGTTGTGTTTTGGAACAGAAACAAAATAAATTGCTGTATTGCATCATTTCTCTAACATAATACTGGTTTGCTATTGACACTAAATGAATATTTTACAACTACTGCAAATAGAGTGACCACAGCTGTATCAAATAATTTCTTATTGATATCAGTGGATGGTGCATTATGGTTTTTGTGCATTACAATCTTAGTATAACTCTTTTGTTTAAAGAAATAATAAAACCCCTCTAGTCTTTATATAAAATCACACCCCATGGGCATAGAGTTTGTGATTTTGGACAAATTTGCAAAGCAAGTCTTAGATTAAAGGAAGAACCTTACTCAGCAATTTGTTCCATTTATTCAAATGGGAACATTTTTGGAGTAATGTACTTCTTAACATGTGCAAGGGAAGGAAAATTGACTTCTGATAATAGGTTAGAGGGTTGTTTTGTAATTCTTTTTCCTTAAATCTCAATGTGAGTATGGAACTATGGAAGATAATAACTCTAATGGCTGTTTCTATACAAGAGATTATTTGTGTTCTGAAAAAATGAATGCATCTCTCCCAGCTGAAGAGCTCCAAAAGTATTTCTTTAGCTTTAAAAATGGCTTTTGTTGATCTGTCTGTAATACTGCCGTGGGTTACACCATGAAATTCTGCTCTTTTAAACTCTTTTAATGTATGTTATCTGAATTTCATTTTTTTATCTCTACACATGCAGCATTTACTCATTAATATTCTTAATTATGTTAACCACTGATATGTTCACTTATGTGAGCATGCTGAGTGAGTTGTTAAAAATAAAAGGTCTCATAGTATTTCTGGAAAAGGCACAGCCACCTCAGAAAATCAGCCTGGCTGTTCCAAAGGTCAGGTAACCTTTCAGTCATGGAACAAAACTGTGGCACATGCATTGGTTTCAGACCTTCTGCATACAAACCTATATGTAACAGGGATTACAGCACACAGTTCCAGGATTAGACCTAGCTATGTCTATTTTAAGGTGGGTACAGTTAATGTCTGGCAGCAAATGGATTCAGGCCCTGCTCCTTCCTTGTGTTGCAAGTTTACTTGAAGCACCTAAGAGTCTAAAGGCAATACAGGCTTTGTTTTTAGGAGCAATGGTGGATGAACATGCTTTCCTGTAGGTATACTGGCTTAGCTCCAGGTAGCTCCACAGTGTGATGGAAGAAATTATTTTATTTGCAGTTGGTATTGATGGTTAAATATTTCAGCTCTGTGCATTGAGAAGCAAAAAAAAACCCCAAAAACCCCAAACCAACCCCAAAAACAACAGAAAAAACTGCAAATCAAAAACCCCCCAGATTTCTGTTACCCTTCAGTTTGGTGTCTTGAAAGCCTTCTAGAAGTACAGCTGAGGATTTAGCTGTTATTTTGAAAACCAGAAAAACTAAATAGTCTTCTGTTCAGAACAGTGAGAGCACTAGTGTGATTCCATTTCACATTTCCTTGGGGCATTTCTTAATGAAAAAAAATGCTGTGAGGTTAAATTCACTCCGGCATTTAGCTTATGTATACAAGAGTTCTGTAGATAAATCTGGCTCTAAGTTGCTAGGAATATATCCCTTTCTGAAAAGAGTTAATTTACGACTCCATCTATGAAGCTGTATTTGAAAGGAAAGATCAAATACAGGAGGAAAAAAAAGCTTTTCGTTTGGTGGCATTCCCTATTTAACTCCCCTCTCACACAAATTTCTCAATCTTTCCTATTGTTCTAGGATTCCGAACACCATTTTAACATTTTTATTTATTGCAATTTGGATTGTGTTTATTGTTTTCCTTTTCAGCTACTGATACAGTGGAAAGATTCAAAGTGCAAGAAACAGTCTTTTTCACACAATACAAAATGTTGGCACCTTTACATTCTGAGGAAATAAAGTCTATTAGAAAAAAACTTTTTCCCAAGGTAAATATTTCAATGCATAAAATATATTAATCTAACAAAAAGAAAGCACTTGAGACATGATGAAGAATTTCATGTTTGCTTTAAAAAAATGGTTACATTTATGGACAAAAAGACACAGATTGCCAGTGTTTCAAATACCATGCTTTGCAATGTAAAGGGTCTAGTGACATTGTAGCATAACATCTGTAGTTTTCCTTTGGAATGTAATGTAGAAAATATAATTTAGTTATGTCAACAATATCTTGCAAAGTGTTCCCATTTATAATTATTTATATTGTAAATAGCTTTCTGAAGTAAATTTGAAGTTAATGTGCATAAGATGTATTTATTATGTGAAGATTTTTTCTGTTTGTTTAAAATATAGCTACCAATATGCAATTTTTGTCTTTTTTTCTAGATTTTTAAACTAAGGATTGTCCTATATAGTATACATTTTCAGGAATCTATTTTAATGAATGAGACTATTAGCATTTGGAGGGGACAGGGTAAAGTAATTTGTAGTGGTACCTGTGAATCCTAAATGCTCCCTGAATCTTGAATGGAGTTTATCAAACTATGAAGAGACACTGATAAGAAGCTGCTACCTCATTCAAGATGCCTCAATCTGCTCAAATACTATTTAAGGAGGAACTTAATTAAGATTAATTATCTACTTTGTGAATCATCTGCCTTGTTTCTTGAAGCCATCTACCACCCCTGTGCCTCAGCTAAATCAGCTTGCTGACTTGGAGCATGGTGCCCACTGGGTGCTTAAAACGGTGTACTGAAACAGCAGTGTTCTGACACAGGAATAGGTGAGAATTTATGAGAAGCTGCACTCAGGCCTGAGAGCTGGCTGTGACCTGAGCTTTTGTTCTTGGGCATTTCAATCCACCCAGAGTAACAGGAGCCAATGTGTAACATCTGAGAGGCTACAGCCCTTGCCTGGTCTGGGGTTTAGGTCCTTTTGGGCTCGAGTTCTGAGTCACAGCTCTTACTTTCTAGGCCAGTTTCTGAGCCATCAAACTCCATCCTCTCAGGCACTGTCACTGAGTCTCTCCCCTGCTGCGAGCAAATGCAAGAGAGATGGTCTCAGAGAGTAGTAGGAGACTGATGATATGGTCCGGTGAGAGAGCAGCTTTCTCTGGAGAGAAAGTGGTTGTTCACATATTTCCCACTGACAAGACAGAGCAAATGCATAAGCATCAGGAGTGTGATCCACAGAAGAGTCAGTTTTGAGTCTCAGGTACATTAAATGCATAAAATGAAGATGCAGTTTTGTCACCAGCCCTTTGCTCCTGCATGGGTGTAGGCATTTGGTTCTTAGAGACACTCCTGGGGACTGGGGAATACCTTGAAGCACTGAGTTAGAAATTTAAACTACATTCATCATGATGGCATTTCCAATGGGCTAATTTAGACAGTTCCCCTCTCTTTGGCCTGAATTTTGCTCCTGGTTCTCATGTAGGTAATAAATGGTGCCATCTTTTCACCAAATTATGCTGTTTAGCTGTGCAAAATATGCTGAGTGCCTTCCTTCCTTCCTTCCTTCCTTCCTTCCTTCCTTCCTTCCTTCCTTCCTTCCTTCCTTCCTGCCTTCCTTCCTGCCTTCCTTCCTTCCTTCCTGCCTTCCTTCCTTCCTGCCTTCCTTCCTTCCTGCCTTCCTGCCTTCCTGCCTTCCTGCCTTCCTGCCTTCCTGCCTGCCTTCCTGCCTGCCTTCCTGCCTGCCTTCCTGCCTTCCTGCCTGCCTTCCTGCCTTCCTGNCTTCCTGCCTTCCTGCCTTCCTTCCTGCCTTCCTGCCTTCCTGCCTTCCTTCCT